ACCAGGACAGACGATCCCAGTCGCTGACTGGACTGTTTTGGGAGGACACACGATCTCCTGGAGTCTTCGGGGGGAAGAAGAGGAAAGAAGATGCGCGTTCCAGCGGTTGCTCTTCGGTGTCAAGTACGTGTGTAAATTCTGAAGTTACGGTGTCCGGTATATGAAGACGCCATCGTTGACGTATCGCGCCCGGGGCAAAGCAACCTCATCCACCGCCGCCAATCAAGCGGCGTACCGCTGGTCGGAGATTCACACGCGCGTTGTTCTCGTCAGCTGCAGTATGTCATAGGATGCTAGGTTTAATACCTGGTTGGGTGTGTACGGACGACGACTACACGGCTAAATCTCAGTATCATGAACGCATGGATACCTTGACGGGATACCTAATCTGCAGCTGGAGTTAATCGGAAATTTATGCAGCAAAGGTGAGTAGCAAGCTTATCCGGTTTTTGATTATCTTATTCAAGACTTGTGAATCAAAACACTGTCGTGATCAGTCCCATTGAGCCTCAACAGCTGCAGCGCGTCATGTTCAGCCTATGTCCGCGGCCATATAAGAAAATACAAAAATAAGGCAGCGGTCGGCCGACCAGCGTTGGAGAAATACAGTTATTCTTGAAAATGTCAGCACACCAGGAACCACGATTTTACAGGATGCTTTAGACTGTCAGTCCAGTTAACAATTCAGTAAGGTATTTCGTGATAATTTGATCAATTCGTTTGTTGATGTTTGCAAATGTTGTATTTTCCCTTTAACCTTATTTTCAGTTTTCGTTTTGCAATTTGCAAGGGCATTTTTAGTGCCCTTTTTCGGCTTTGATGCTTATTCGAATTACCATATCCATGTGCAAAAGTGTGGTGTCATTTCAGGCAGAAACCTTTATGCTACAGCTATTTCAGCACCAAAAGTTGCCAGAATTATGAATTTTTTTGTTTTTGGAAAATGTTCTTTTCTTTGGTGATTCCTTGTTGTGTGTCAATAGGTAGCAGTAAGCGAATGAGCAAACTTTTTTTCACACAAATGTTTTCAATGAACAATCTTTTAGGTACACAATTCAAAACCCCTAAACTGAACAGTGTCTTCCAGAAATGACATCACAGCAACTGCGAGTTCAGTACTGTTGTCTGGAAATGGATGACTTTTTTTTAATGTTTAAAGAAACGCACTTTTCAATCAAATTAATCAAAAGGGATGGCAAAATAGTTTTCACATATTTAAGAGGAGTAAAAAGGTTGCACAGAATGTATTCCTCAGAAATATTCATCTCATTGACCGTTTACGTTTTTAAACTGAAAATCAGGAAATGTCCAGCCGACCGTATGTTGTCAGTAGCGGCTAGATTTCCAGATTGTTCTTAAGAATTACAAACAATCTCCATTTTAACTATGTTGTTTTGCGGGAGAGTAATCCCAAGCAGCTCGTCTTGTCTTGCAAATTCATCACAACACTAGTGTTTTGAAGCCGGTGGAAATCAGTAATTGACATGTGGATGTGAAAAACAATCGACAACAATTTTGTGGTTGTTATTTTGGTTAGTGTCACCCACCGTTCCCCTATGATATTATCCGCCCAAGGTGCATTGTCAATCATTACCGTTCCCCTATGATATTATCCGCCCAAGGCGCATTGTCAATCATTTTCAATAGGAGGGGTTCATGAACCTTGAGGGCGTCTTGCCTTTCTCATCCCATGCTCCAGTCTATACAGGGTGAGTAAAAAAAAACCGAAACGTAAATATCGGGAATATTGTTTCATTGAAGTTCTGCATGTAGCACTTTCACAATCTAGGATCTGAAAGCCCAATTCATCAGCTTTCTTTTAGTACAAGAATCATTCAAATCACTCATGTACTTTTCAAGTTACGGAATTTTTAACACAACCACCGTTTTAAGGTTCTGTCCACGGATCACAAGAAAGGTGTGCGTTCTTTCAGCAAAACGAAAACAATTCACACACATCCCTATGTGATTTGTTTTCATTTTGCTGAAAGAACACTCAATTTTTTGTGATACGTGGACAGAACCTTAAAACAGTGGTTGTGTTTAAAACTCCGTAACTTGAAAAGTACATAAGTGATTTGAATGATTCTTGTACTAAAAGAAAGCTTGTGAATTGGGCTTTCATATCCTAGATTTTGAAATGGTACATGCAGAACTTCAATGAAACAATAGTCCCGACATTTGGGTTTCGTGTTTTTTTACTCACCCTGTACATGGTTGGTTGAACGAAAAAGTCCCTTCAACGCTAGCACTACGTAACTAACCTTCAACGATTACAATGGTCTCAAATGACGTCAGGCACCTCTGATCACATATGTGGGTGAGGGGTGGGTCTGGACCTCATTTGACACTAGGGGGCGTTTTCCCCCCTTTTCTTCTCTTTATTTCCATTAGTATACTTCACGAATCTCTGGAGCCAAATGCATGGGACGCGTAACCCACAGCACAAAAAGAAGTTGCCTACTTTCTGTTTGGTTTAACTAAAATAAATAAATGGACAACTCTGTTATCATTCTGCGTGTGACGGGGGGGGGGGGACGATCCGACAGTCTTGTGTTTCACATTCATTCTGTTTCGTATCTTAAGCATTCTATTTCGCAACTTTATCATTGAATTTTTTTTCTTAAGGTATAATCTTCTATCTCTCATAAAAACTCAAGAGGGTCTCTATGAGATTCTTCCTTGCAAACACCTCTGGGCTCTTATGGCGTCGTTGTGGTCAATGTCCACGCATAAGGACAGACAGCGCTAGAAGTGATTCCCCAATTAAAGAAGTAAATCCACGATTATCTTCATCCTTTAATCATGCATTTGGCTGTAATGAAAATCGACAAGTGCAATGAAAGTGATGTATTACTGGTTAGATTTAATTAAATTAATTTGATGGATCGGTAATCCGGTGTCACGCAGCATTCAAAGGAGAATCGGCTACTTTCTGAGTAAGAAAAGTGAATCGTTCTGTCTGATTAAACTAAATAAATTACTCACATTTATAACTGAGCCCAGGCTTGGCCATTACTGTTTTTACGTTAAATTAAAAAAAAACATCTGTTTGACAGTGTTCACTTTTTCCACCGAATCTTGAAACACAGTAAAGTCTATCATCGGTACTTTTCTTTAAATTACATTTCACGCAGAGAAGGTTCGCCATAATGCATACTTCATCAGCCCTCGGGAGAAACCGGGCACACTATCAATATACGAAGACCCCCTTAGTTGGTGAAAGCATCGTGCTAGGACAGTTGTTGTGTACAATAGCATTCACAATGGTTTCTCCATTGAAGGGGGCCTCATACGTGTACAGTGATAATGTGCCTGGCTGGATTCGTCTATTATATCAACCACGTGGGCCATTATCTACATTCGGATGCGCCCTCTAGCGGCTCAGGTCTTTCAAAGAAATATGAAAACTTTTCTGATTATCTATTTTATATTAATTCATTATAGATAGTGATTCCAGGTTATATCACCATAAAATTCACGTAGAAGCTATTTCGATAATTTACAATATTTTCTTTTATTATTTGAATTCAAAACGCGTATACATTGGCGGCTTGTTTTCCACTTGCTGCTCTGTGGCCATTCAAGCATGCCCAAATTGGAAAGGAAATACATAAATATTAATGTTCCATCATGCATTATTCGTCTCATGAATGACTCTTACATGAGTGCAGCGATGTCATGTCGCGGTGTCAACTGCTGACGTCATAGTATACACTGTCTACAATTATTATTCCATGGCTGAGCAATAAGTGACCAAAATTTGGATTGAATTTCAAGTATAGAATACAGTAGCAGATCTAGATGGGGGTTCGGGGTTGCAAGCCCCGCCCCCCCCTCTCCCGTTCAGCCGCTGCCTAATGTTGTGATACCAGTAAAATGGGGCCAAATATGATACATTGTAAATGGAAAGCTAAAGTAAAGTTCAATTTATTCAGAAATTGCCTTAGAATGCGGGAGAAAGCTTCGTAGATTAAAAAAAAATTGCGAGGCGGGGGCATGCCCCCGGGCCCCCCTCCCCCAAGCAAGCGTTGGCTTCGGCACGCCTTCATTCACCTCCCCCCCTCCCTCATGTCGAACCCCCCCCCCACCCCCCGTTGCTAGATCCGCCCGGAATACCTCGCGCGCGAGATTTCATGTGTTAATGCATTGACGAGGTATGTAGTGTAAGTGAGCGTTTCATTCGAATCACAAAATGCGCAGAAATTTGCTATCCATAGGCCTAATTTCGCAGAGTTCCCTACAAAATGTGCCTTTTCCTTTTAACTTGTTTTGATGCATTACAAATTTACAAGTAATTATGCTCACTGAAAGTCATTTGCAAATGGTGTAGGTAGGCCAACCCATGGACTGAAAGTTAACCATCTTTCTGACTCGCACACAATAGCAGGTGAATGGAAGTAGGCTGTTCAACTGCAATGAATCTTGTCAAGAAAACGAGCTGTAATTTGTTTGGTTAAACAGTGGTAGGCCCTACATGTATATTTGTATTGCTGAGTTGCTCTCAATAAGAGCAGGACACCAGAGGCAAGTTTGTTGGTGCTGTATGTCACGCAGAGAACTTTGCTAATTCCAGAAGTTATTTTCTTAGCTCTAAAGGTTACCAGCCAATATTTCATGCTTATGACTGGCTCCCATCAGCTGACTTTTACTTTGCAAGAAAATTTGATAAAAATAGCGTTTTCTGTAAAGTAGCGTAGTGATGTGAAATTGGCACATTAGACCATTCACAGCGAGGCAATGTAAGTCAGACGATGTTGTACTTTAAAGGTGATGAGGAAGTATGCATTGGAAACAGCCTCCCTTCAAAAAACGAGTGCAACAAACTGGCACAAACATGCCTTGTCATTTTGACATCTCGGGCAGAAAATACAATCACAACATCCGTCTGTAGACATGCACGCTCGATCATCCTCCTCCTCAAAGGTCACATCAGATACTTGCTGCCCCCTGGACTCAATTGGACACCGTCCCCCATCTTCCAGACTTTCCAAATATACCTGCCTGGTGCCGCTGAATTCCTCATTTCTAAAATTTGGCGGCAACTTGGCAGCCATGTTGTCTGGCTGCATTGATTGTCTGAGCATGGTGCATACCCTCAGCAACTATTCATATTTGGTGACCATGAACTCGTTTCGGACTAATCGATGTCTTAGGTCTATCCCTACTCTTCACATCTTTAAGTTTAAGTAAGTCTTAAGAAAAGGAATCCAGCTTTATCGCTACAAAATAATACCCAGCCTTGTCCCCACCCTCCTTCTGCTTGGTTCGTTGGTCTGCTTGCTCCATTACTGGTCAAGTAGCCTCTTGAGGTAGATAGCGGTCTCCCGAGTGTTTCCGTGGAGATTCGCGCGCTTTTGGCGGGAATGCCTGGCTGTAAAGGAAAGATGGACTGCTCCAATACGAGGCAGGGTTAGCTGGCGCCTGTACTCGAGTTGCCCACTGGCAATAATCAGTTGCTACAAACATTCAAGCGAGAGGAGCCGAGGAGAGAGTCCACGCATCGCACAGACACATTTTACACGCATCTTGTTCTTTTCCTCATTTTCTTGTTTCTTGACGGGCGGGTGATGCAAACGGAGCAATAACCAGCTTGTCGGGGGACATAGCAACCCGTGTAACAATGACGAATCGCTACAGGATTTATCAGTGCTGGATTATGATCTATAAAAAACTGTAAAATATTTACCTTTTTTTTACATTTTTTCTCTCGGTTGTTTCCCGGCGGCTAGGCGCGCCGTCGGTCGTCTCTCATCTCTCAATTATGTTTGTTATCGATGTGCTCCAAGCCGAAGTTCATTTATCAAGATTCACGCAGTGACAGTCGGAGGAATAAAACCTGCTCAAGGAAACATGAACGTTTCGTCGCCTCGACGTGCGTGAAGACACGATTTGGAGTTGATGCAGTCCATCAATTTTAGACCCTTGCCTTTTAGCGGAGCGCTTGGCAGTCAACGTAGATGTCTGCACAACGAACTTCTCAGTTGAATCGGGCAAGACTGTTTGGAGTGCGCTCTTATTATGAGAACTGTTTGTTTCAATAAATTATTTACTTCTCTTCGGTAGCGTGTCAGAAAGAACGCCAGTGGAGCATCTTTTGGTGTAATTTCAGTTTACGACAAAAATTGGATTTCAAGTCAGGAAAATGCTAGAACTGGATACATATACCGTTTGTAACTTCTTATCGGGACAATCGTCAGCATGTGAGTACCATTTTGTACTAGTTTTTACTTCTTGGACAATTTTGAGTCTTTTAATGGTGAAAGCATGAAGAAACCAAAACAAAATCAGTAAGGCTCGTCTCCTAATAAAAGTAAATTGATATACAATGTAGTTATAATTTGTTCGGCCTGTAAAGCACCGTAATATACCTTTATGTGGTTTACCTCATATTTGTTTATTAATAATGTTAGTAAACATACTTTAAAACACACACGCACACAGAAGTGATACATTTCATCGTTTCTCTTTAACTTTTAACAGCTTTTTATTTATAAGAATTGAGAACGAAATGACAGTCTTCTTTCCTCCATGTATTTGGGCACGGGGGAATTTGAATTAACCGAGGTACTTTGTGTTTTGCTTTGTGTTGGCGGGCAGGGGGGGGGGGGGGATGTTACTTCACATACAAGAATATTATAATGAGAAAAAAATCTAACCGAGGACAGTAGTGAACCTGAGGGTGTTGGTGGGGGCTCTATTGCCCTCGCTCTGAATATGAATAAGGCAATGAAATATGTTTATTTGTATTGTTACAACTATTACAAAACCTAATTTATTCCCCCATGAAACAAAATCTCCCCTCCAAGTGCCTGCAAATTTTACACCAATCACGCTGCTGTCCAAAAAAAAGAGCACCTCTTGGCTCTTAAAGCATTTTCAATTAAGCAGATGAAAATAGTTTTAAAATGTGGAATATGAAGGTGCACATAATTATTCCCATAATGGCAAATTTCGTGTCGGTTATCGCGCGAAGGAATTTATAGGAGCATATATTTTAGGTTGTCCAAATCGAGACGTTCAATTGATATAATCTTGATTCCAGTCATCTTGTTTCGAAACCGCTGCTTCAAACATAGTGTGTCGTTTGAAACATTGTCAGCGTAAGCACTAAACATTAGCGACCTCCGCATGACAGTACCCCTTTAAAGCTAAGTCTTAGGCCCCGAAAAACATGTATACATGTACATATTAATCTATACAGCACGTCAGATGTCTAATATGGATATTGAGTTCTGTTCCATTGAAGGGAATAAACAAGATATTTCACCATCCTCACACGTAAGCTCGATTTTTCTGTGTGATCATGGACGGTAGGTGCTTTCTGTCATGTCATTGATGCTCCCACCCCGTGCTTAGTTCCTGTTTGCGCATCATTAGCTCGTATTGCCCTGTTCTTCTTGTCAGGACGGTGTGATGAAAGGCTTACAAAGTCGAACCGATCTTTTCCATTTAAACACTAACCGGCTTCATCACTGGACGGGGACTTAAGCTCGACAAAGGCACGTGCCCCAGCATCCACCCACGTCATTTTGATCACAAGATGTCGATCAGAGGAAGTTAGAGTTAAAATACCAAAGCCACGATGCACGGTTACTTGGGGCTTAAAACCCCTGACAACTCCCTCCTGGGCCGTATACAGGCCGGTAAGGCACGGCCTACAAGCGTGCCTTCCGATTTCAAGATCATTTTTCATTTCTCCCGGGCGCTATTGATTCATCTTTAGTATGCACTTTACGCAAGCCGCTATGGATCCAGGGGGGCCTTCGGGAACAAACCACGTTGTTTGGGCGGGATTCTCGCGAGACATCCCGAATGCACGCTTCGGTCAAAAACAAAATGAATGAATTTTGATGTCGTAGTTGGAATATCATCGCTTCGTTGCCTCTTAATTAGAGCACCGGTTCCCGCTGGCCATATTGTGGTTCTTTTTAATAATTTCTTCGGGGAGAGAATATAATATACTCACCTGGAGGACAATGTTGAATTGAAACTTCTATCTGTGAGTGAAGGAATGCATAGTGGCCTGGTCATTATTACGATCGACTGGGCTTACATGCTTCAGTCGTTAGCTAACACGCTGCAACTTACAGCTATAACGTCTGCATCGCATCAGAACGCCAAGCATTGACCCCTTCAAACAATATTATTACTTTGACGCCATCTTGGATCTTGAACATGGAGATCGATGAATCCCTTGTTAAAAGGCCATCTGTCTTCACGTTCGAGTGAACTAAGAAATCTGCTGAAAAGCTGAGTAGTATAGAAGCGCGAAGCTGTCGAGCTTGTGTGAATTGGAAGGCGCGGTGATGCGTGTGTAAGGAGGAAGTCTACTGGAGGACAATCAACCATGTCTTGAGTTCAAAGTCAAGACATGCACTTACATCGTGAACTTGTCATGCCAAGACAAACAGGATGCAAGATTTGTTTCCGTTGTTATTCACAAAGAGACTTAAGGAGAGCCATGGGAGATGAGAGCATACAAAGAGTGTTCTCAAGAAATTCGTAGGTTCTCAACAAATGGATGAATTTTTTTGTATAAATGAATTTAGTATTCTCAAATATCAATTGGTTTTTTTTTTTTGTAATGAAAAATCAGATTCACATCGTGACATTTTAACATTTTATCGTGAATAAATCCCGGTTCATACTGCATGCGAATGCGAAGCGAATTTGACTTCATGAAACATTAGCCGGGCTTAATGTGAACGAAACTACTACAATTTCTGTTAAACCCGTTAACCATTGTCACTTTATAAGACTAACAAATTTCTGGGGAGCAACTGGGGGGGGGGGGGGGGGTGACGACTGGTTGGTTGCGAGTCAATATCCATATGCACAACGTGGTGCGCGAATTTTTTAGTAACATGATTTGCTTTTAGCTTTTAGTGTGAGCTGGAGTTCATTATTCTGTTGCCGGGAAGTTACTCTACAGAAGTTCTGCAAACGAGAGGTTTTGTAGGTATTTTGGTCTCAATTTTCAGTTGTTACCCCGGTCCGCGAACTCAAGAGGGCTATTTTTTTAAAAGTCCAAATATACATTTTGCTTTTAACGTGGAGAATTCATCCGTTTTCACTTTGAGCTCAGCAGTCGTTCCCGGTCCATTTGCAGTATCGAAACATTACGAGTCAGAGATAGAAATAAAAAACCTACCCATGCATCTTTAAAATTGTGTAATATTAAGTTACATGCGATTAAGCGGATTGTTGCAGTTATTAGTATGTTTGACGCGTGATATCGAGTGGCGTCATTTATAAGAAGTCAGTTCCAAGAATTACCGAGTTGTGTAATACTCAATGTCGTGGTTAATATTAATCCAGCCTAAACGGTTATTTGTAACATGATGCTCGCTGGGTTTCCAAATAGTCGACTTAGAGTTCGTCTCGTCCCAGTTGCAGACTGAGAATTTGAATGGAAGACGGAACTCACCCCTCGTCAGCATAGATACAGAAAAGATCAAACTCAACGACTGGAAAGCAGCGCAACTCCATCAACAAGAAAATGCCGTGTGTGGACACAGCCGCCAGGAAAGTGTCATTTCTGTTAGCGGAGGGCTAGCCGGCGTTTACATAGCAATTCTGGATCTCCTTAACCCCTTCATGTTGGCTTGCCAGTAAAGACGGATGGTCGTGGACGAGGCGACGAGTTTTCAGGGCATTTGCGTTGTCTGGGAGGCTGCGTCGAATGAAGGAAAAACTTCAATATCTCAGGCGCCTAACGGTCATCTGTACTCGCAGATTATCACTTATCGCAGACAAGGAAATATTCTGTGTTTATGATCGAGAGAGAAAGAAAAAGAATGGTTACAGGTCAAACACGACAAGCAAATTTTGGATGAAATAATTGATGTATCACATAATGAGTTGTCTTGACAGTTAGGCATGTAGGTCTACGGTGAATCTAGCACGCACGGAATGCAAAACAAGGAAAGAAGACCTATTTTTTTTTTAGTACGAGTCTCGTGACCGCGTGAACTGTATAGAGCGTGGAACATCTAAAGCCGTTAGCAAATAACGGTTTGCAAAATACTCGACAACAAACCCAGTGAAGACATTTATTGATTGACTGGACCAGGGAAAAGCGGGCATTAAAAATTATAAAACCTTATAGGTGGAATAGAATAAGTCTGTCTTAAAATGAATGTGATATTTGAGAACATTTTGTATTTTTGCCAATTTGTTCTTCAAATTTCACTGAGATGGTCACCCATAAATAACGCCCTAAACCGAACCATGAATTTGAATTATTCACAGTGTTCTTAAAAAGGTGTTAATTTACCAAAACGATTTTTAAAGAAAACGTAATGTCTTTTAGGCTTATAACTTTGCGATACCAATATCGAACAAATTAACTTTCTCCATCATGACCCTACGTCAACCTTACATTTTCAACAGCACAAGACAAGGAAGGTATACAGGGTGAGTAAAAAAAAAAGGAACCCAAACCCCAACAATTATATTTCATAGTTAAAAAAAAATGTAGAATCAAACGTAATAATGACCGGAAAGCCAATTTCATAAGCTACGTTTAGATGAGAAAAATGACTTAAATTGCTCAATCCGTTCAAAGAATATCACCATTTAAACACAATGACCCTAAAACCTGTCTCGTCCAGAAACGCGATTTCAAGAATCGTCGTCACATTTTTTTGTTTAAAAGTTAAAAATATTCGACAAAGTCCTTCTGAAAGCCCGTCTTTAAAAAGAAGAAGTGGATTTTATAAATCATATATATTGTTTGCCTAACCAGGGTTGTTAATAACGATATTGTGTACTACAGTTGTTTACAGTTGTTGAACAAGTATTGTGTGTCATTTTCTTTGTTGTTCCAAACAGTCAAAACACACAATTTGGACGAGACAGGTTTTAGGGTCATTGCGTATAAATGGTGATATTTTTTGAACGGATTGAGCAATTTCAGTAATTTTTTTCATCTCAATTGACTTTCCAGTCATTAATATTTTTGGTGTTGCAGATTTTTTTTTCATATATGCAATACAATTTTAGGGGTTTGGGTTCCGCTTTTTTTCTCACCCTGTAGTAAAAGAGTGCACGAAGTTCGTTTCAATAGATTCAGAATGGTTCTTCACTGGAGATCTTCATGTTTTTGATCTCATGGGCAGAATTGAGCTCATTCATTGGCGGTACGGGGTAAACCCTTACGATATTTTGAACAGTTCATGCTGAGAATTATATAGTCATAAGTGTGCGTGTCGGTCGGTCGGTCGGTCAGTCAGATAGGTGGTACAAAGATGACGACGCTAGGCTGGTCGACTGGGATTAGCAAAAATTATATGACATGCATCATTCCTCATAAAGGGGTCATGCAGTGATATTTTCTTAGGGGTACATTTTGTGCAACTTTCTCTTCTTAAATGTGTGAAACTATTTTAAATCCCCTTTTTTGGGGCTAGTTATATTAAACAGTGCACTTTTTGAAACAGTACAAATCCTATGCTTTTCCTCACAACTGCGGGCGCTGTTGCTGTGATGTCATTCCATGAAGACGCTGTTTAAATCTGAACCCCAAATTTGCTCATTGAAAACATTTGTGAGAAAGGGTTGCTCATTGGCATTACTGCCATGTACTACGAACCCCCAGAAATAGCTGTAACATTGAGGTTTCTGCCCGGAATGACATCATAGTTTTGCTTATGAATATGGAAATTCGTATTAGCATAAAAACCAAAAAGGCACCAAAATACCTTCAAATGACAAAACAAAAATTGAAAATAAGGTTAAATGGGACATACGGGTGTATTTCTAAAATAGTATTTTAAAAAAAATACGTTGCATGGGCCCAACTACAATAGACTGAGCTCTTCATGTACATTGATGTGTGGTAAAAGTGACAATTACTGACTGCCTGATTTTCAGTTTCACAAAGTGTGTGGGAACTAGCAGTTAATAATGATGCGCGCGTTTAGCACTGGTTTTCAATGTGTCATTTTCGGGGTTTTATGCATAGCCGGCTAGCAAGATCTGCAGTTTCAATTTGTCACTGGCATCACAAACTACCACCCTTTCTATGTCATGTCTAACAGCGTTGTGTTTTCCCTTGATACTGATAGTACCGAATATAATCACCTATCACTGAGCCATACCACGCGATAAATATGACTGTCGGAGCTATTTTTCGATTTTTACCATAAATAAAGTTCATTTTTAATTGCCCCTTTTTCAGCAATACAAAAGATATGGAATGAAACATCGAACGAAATGCGGCCCACGCTTACATTTGGAATAATAATTTTACAAATCTCGAATTTGTTGAGGCTCAAATAAGCCCAAAATCCTTTCTTGCTGGGTAGACTACAGTTCCCACAACGCTATCAGCATGGATAAAGTATCGAGAGGGAGCCATGCCAGTCTACTTGCACTAAGCAGATCCGTTCGTTGGTGTTTATTGCACATTGCTTTTTTTTTCAGAGGGTTGTCGGCTCCCAAAATAATATTGAAAAATGTTAATAGTTTTTTTCTAGTTTATGAAGTTAATAATACAATTGAAAGTTCATGAAGAGAAAAGGAATCAAATTTATTGAAGATCACGCGGACAGTTCGTCTTTAATTGAACTCCACATCTTTTATTTCAAAGTGAGTGTGGTATATTGCAAATTGTCTGTTTATCTAGTTATGTCACCTCAAAAAGAGAACCTTTCAGAGTATTTTTGTTGGGTTCTCGGTAGGCATTATCATCGTACCTTGATTTATGCTTGCAAGTGTTTTATCATAGAGGGCGCTCTGACGAGAAACTTTTTAGTTGTGGTGAGTTTTCTTTTTCTTCAAATCGTCAACCCACCGATTCTCAAAAACAGTTATTAATACCGTTCCTAATTTTTTTTCATGAAAAGAGTTTTGGTGAAAATATCGAGTTTAGCGAAGCCGGTTGCTACTTTTTGAATCGTCATGAAAATGTTTTCACGCATGCAAAATGTTCCTGCTGAAATTAATTGAGGGCGCTACTTCAATCATTAAGTGCATGCAATCGGCAGGCAGAGCAGGTGCATGAATTAATTAATTGAAGATATGAGCTTCTTACTTTCTGTAATTCAGTATTACCGTTACTCTTCAAGTTTCAGAAGGGAACGAACGTGTTGAAACAGTACAAAATATCGTGTTTTTATGTTCTGTTCTAACTTCCTACTCTAAGTTAGAGGGATCGCCCTGAAGGGTGCAGACCAGTAAATCGGTCCGAAATTGCCTACGCCGGCCAAATCACGATTTGCATGCCCTCAAAATCTTCGGTATTTGAGCATGCTGTGGGCCATGAACTTGAGGGTTTGTAAAAAATATGGGTGGAAGCCGTGCACAGGACTGGGAGCTTGCAGTTCTGTGTAATTTTGATGTAATTTGGACCCTAAAAGCGCTCTATTTTGCAATGGAGTGTAGGCATCGTTTTTCAAAATGGCGATGGGCTTCAGGACTATTTTCAGGGGTGATCATCTTCAGATGGAAATTTCTCCTAAAAGTCATCAGTTGACCCCCCGAAAATTGAAAAGAAAATGAAAGATGATGAAATAAGCTTTAATTTGATGTGTGTCTCGAATACCTTGGAGAGTTGTGAGTATTTTCCCCGAATTTTTGAAGTGGGAGCATTTAGCATTGGGGTCTATGGAAGTTTATTTACTGGTCTGCTACCTGAAGAAGACGGCGAATGGAAACTTTACTTCCCTTCGTTCATTACTGAATGGCGCCCTCTATCGTGATTGAGGTTGCCTCGTGCTTGTCACTGATCCTTGTTGACTTTGGCTGGCGGCGACGCACTCGTTGCTCCAACCAGCGAGAGAAATCAGGTTGTTGTAATCATTGATCGGCAGAAAATCTCGGCCTGCAATCGGGCTTATCCCTGGGAGGGGGCTGGCTCACGGTGTGTGTGCAGTGTGCGGCTGAAATGAATTGTTGATGATTGGACATATCGTCCAGCAGTGCAGCGTGCATCAGTTCATCAGTCGAGCCGTCAGACGCTGCGTGTCTCTAGTCTGTTCCGCTGGTATCAACTTCCTCACACCATTGGCACCGGAGTTTAAATGCTGCCAAAACTTTCTTATCAACGTTTCATCTCGCAGATGGTTTCACGAAAAACTCAATATTTTCAAAGGAGCCACGTACGTCAGGACACTTCTGGAATTTTTACGAATGCAAATTGACTGGATGATTTTTCTGGAGTCGTTTCGGATGAGTTGAAGTCCGGAGTTTGGGTTATTTTCCCCCTTTACTTCAGCGAGTGCCGTTGTCATGGCTTCCGGAGCCAGCAGGGCGGGTAATCTTGCGCCGACCACCGAGGAAGTCAATAGTTTCAAGGACAAGGTAACTAACTGACGCAGTTGGTGTTCAGGAATTTCATTTTGGCATGATGAAAATGGCAAGGTATTTTTGATTCGGCATCAAATTACTAAGTTTGCAATTTGACCAAAAGAGTTTGGTGCAACTAAGTCCAGCACCCAGTCTTACACATTACAAGTTTAAGATTTGATGGGCTTGAGCCTTTTAAGACCCCATATCCATATTCATTCAAGTAACTGTCAAAAGGCGTTCTTGAATTGATTGACATTTATGGCCTTCACTCAATTCTTCCTAATGTTTTTGCTAAGTATTAATTAGGCTACCAAAATTGATTGCATAAATTATTTTTTCGACATGTGAACGTGTTTTTTTTTTTGGGGGGGGGGCAGGAGATGCAAACAAGTATAATTTCAATAGGACGAGTTGTAATTCATGATAAAAATGTTCACAGTCACAAGATATAAAATGGAAATTCCTGATTCAGTTGATAAAGCGCAACACTGGTAGTCTTTTAGTTTTACCCAATCATGCCAATGGATGCATTGTAATTATGTTGATTTCATTTATATATTTTTATAATGTAGTTGTACCAATACTCTTATGGGATCACTTGATCCAGTACAGAAGTAATGATGGTTTTCTTGACATTATGAATTTGTAAATTCAAATACAAAAGTTGCCTATTGGAAAACTGCCATGTGACTCATGAATACAAATTACGTGAAGAGGTATCCATAATGTGTAAAAACTCGTTTGAGATTGTTCAGCCTGTCTGTGAATCCACTCCTTTGTGTCTGATACCTGGAGATTAGCTTAAATTGTTTTTTTTTGTTCACATAGGCTACTGTGAGAAAATCCAGTTTGTCACACTTACATGTAATTGTAAGAGATTCTTAAAGTTTACATTGTAAAATCATGGTAGACCACACTCACTACTTTATGTTCATTTCATGCATTTTTTTTTCTGTAGTAGTTTGGACCACGGAGGAAGGAAAACAGACTTCGACTAGCTCTCAAGATAAAAACTTGTACAGAAGTTTATCAAAGTTGGTGTCAGCATCATTCAAACAAGTATTAGTTGTGCAAAATCTTATCCCCATTTTTTTTAACCATCTCTCTTTTTTTTTTTTTTTTAAATGTCTCACCAGATATTTTCAAGCCTCAAAATGCAAGCCTAAAATAGGTTGAAACACAAGTCACACTATTTTGGGGGAACTATACTGGCTCAAAAAAATTGCGGCTCAAATTGAACAACCCTTTAGAAAGTCTGCTAAAAGTATTCTTCCCGTTAACACTTTTGCAGAAGACACAAAAAGAGACAAGTACTGCATATGTGCATCATGCCCCTGAATATTTCAAAATAACCACACCAAGATTCAAGAACAGTAGGAGACATTTTTTAGGGTGAAAAGCTCGCCAGGGGGGTCTGCTGAGAAGGCCAAACTCATCAAATTAAGAAGATAAAAAAGAGTGGGCTTGAAAGATGCCAGTACCAAACGGCGCCTTGAATGGCTTCCCCTGTAATGTCCAGAAAATTACCCAGTGTTACTGGCCGCACAACAGGAAGTGGGCAGGCATTTGGACCTGTTTGTGCCCGTGTTTGTCAAAATAGTCTAGCCTCATTGGTTGTGGCGTGCATTGTGAGCTAACAGGTCCAACGCTGGTGAGATGTCCTTCTTTGTAAAGATTTCATCATGGTTTGGATATTTCACCTTCCATAAATCACTGGGTTTTTATTATACTTAAAACAGGTGTTGGCATGGGATGACATGGATGGATGTTGATACCTGATAGGCTGAAAATTCTGTTCAATTGGACTTGAGTTTCTAATCGGATACTCTATAAATTGGAAAATGTATAGGCCCCAACTTTGTGAACTTTCATCAGGTTCCAGATTATGGATTAACATGACCGGCTCCACAAAAAAGGGTATTAAGTTGCGCTGAGCATTATTGTTTACTGGCCCGCTAAACATTGAGAGGGTAACAATTTCGTCAAAATGTGATTTTATATTTTTTTCATGAATGACATCTTTAATACCTGCAGTTTCAGGTTTTATTCACAGAAATGTTAATTTTGATGAACAAAGTGGAAATAAACAACCATTTTGTGTGCATCGTTCTGTTGTTCTACAACAAAGCTAGCTATTTCAAAGCCTGTTTTCTCAGTTGTGTAATTTGAACTCCAAGGAAGTAATTAATATGCAAACACGTCACATCTCCAGAACGAGAGGGGCTATGGAGCTCTATTATATACCATAGAGCCATGTAAATGTACACCCCTAGTAACTGGATTGAAAGTACCGGTACAGTGCAATTAGTAAGGGTCCCAATAATCTAGGCTGATGTTGCTGTGGCAGACTGTCACACGCCTGCAGTGTGAGACCTTTTTTAAGAAGCAGGAAAAGTGCCCATGGCACCCTCAAGCGCATGCGCCCGCTTTTCGTTCCTGTTATTGTGCAGTATGATCTGCGAGTTTCAACACGTACGGGTACATGTACAGGTATCCAGAAAATCCTTGGAAAATCCTCAAATGTCGAGTTCCTACAAGTGTGAAAACACCAGCAGTTGTCCGAAAGGAAATCGTACCATCCCCCTGTCTGATATTGTTAGAGTTGGAGCCAGGAACAGTTAGAAGGAATCGGGAGGTGTTAGGCTCACCTAGGTGTGCATTACGCTTGAAACTCGCTGAATAGTGGGATCAGGATTAACTAGTTGCTTAACTCATGCCCGGAATGTGTTGTGTGTGTCTCCTGACATGATGAACTAGCTTGAACTGTTGACACAATGGATGTTTGTCACAAGTCATTAAACAAGGGGGCTGGGTATGAAAGGTTTCCCATGCAGGCCCCAGACCTCAATTTCCTCTCTGTGGAGTTTTTGTTCACTGGGGCTGTTTGTGTTGCCCCTAGCGCCCATGGTACATGCACTTATTGAGGCTTTCACCTGTTCTGTAGAGGTATGGTAATATGGTATAGTACCTGATGCATATATATGAGAAATGCACTCTTTTCAGAAATTATAGCCTATGCAAATTTTGTAAATCATATGGAAACCATTTAAATCCAGAAACCATTGGAAGGAATTGTGAACTACATGTATTTTCATGACCTTATTTCTGTGTTGATCAGAAATTAAGGGCAAACTTTTCCTCAGAATTTAAAATGAACTTCAGATTACAGATTGGCCTGTGTTTGTAGAAATTTGTCTTTTTTCAAGCCAACTTACAATGTACACGTATAAGGCCGTTATAGTCTTGTGCAAGTACGAATGTACGATAAGCATGAGGAATACACACTGTTCCTTGGCTCATCAAGCAGATACTTAATTCTGAAAGCTACATAAGTCCGTAACACTTGTTCGTGTAGAGCCCGTGCCGCCTGAGTGAAGTGCCTGTTCCATACATGTAGTACTTGTACACAGCAGTTCTCTCTGACTCTGAAAACGATGGAATTTGCCCCTCGTCAAAGTACAGCATAACTCAGGAGCTAGGGATGTATGCATGTTCCTGTACTCAGAACAATATGTAAGAAGTCAGTGGATGTTGTGTACGTGTACGTAAAATATTAAATTTCAGAAACAAGACTATTGAATTTAGGAGTCACCTGCACTCAGTACACCAAGATGTCTGTAGAAATGCAGATTTTTGTGACAAATTAGTCAATTTGTCCTTTGTAACCGTTCTGATTTATTTCTGTTTGTCACACAGCTAGAAGAAATGTACAAGCCTTCAGCGAGCGTAGCAGGATATAGCGCAGCAAACAACGGACAGCCAGCAGAATCACGTGACAGGGACGTTATAATGCAGAGGATGGCACAGCAGGGCGTGGCCCAGGAGGGCGCGGCCCAACAGGGCGCGGCCTCATCCCTACACGATGTTGTGGTAATGGGTCACTCTGGGCGGGGCCAGGTTGGGGTGTGGTGTGAGCGATGCAACAGTCGTCTTGTTGAACTCAAGAAGCAAGCTTTACGACTCATGATCATGCATCCTAGTCTCATACGACTCGCTATGAAGGTAAGTCCAAATTTGTAGTCATTTTCATTAGAAGCGTCACAATTCAAGGATATCTTTATCTTAAGAAAATTTGACAAGTGGGGTGTGTTCTGTCGAAAGAAGCATGCAAATGGTGCGCAATATTCCTGAATGATTGAATATTCTCAAGAATGTTGTGCAACGTTTGTGTTTTTCACAAATCTTGAAACAGACCCTACTCGATCAATATTGTAGTGGAATCCATCACGAGTCCTTTACTAGTGTGGGCCGAATTTCATGGCTCTGCTAACCGCAGATTTCCGCACTTACGATGACCATTTTGTGCTAACAGCACTAGCAGAAAAATTCTGTGCTAATCCTGTAAACACAGAATCCTTAGTTACAGGATGTACAATGTACACATGCGCTGAAGTCAAAATTCCTCGCTTACCCGTGAAATACATTTACTGTAAGCACAGAATTTTCTGCTTACTTTTCTGCCAAGAAATTAAACCCTGGTCACAAGTAAAGCACAACAATGACAAAGGAATGCTTTTGTCACAATTCACTCGAATGGCTTGTGACTTGGCTGGAGACTTGGTAACTTTTGATGGACTTTACGTGATGAACTCAACTACATTGTACAACACTGTACACTAAAGGTTCCAAACGTACGACATCAAAGTACCACGTACGTTACGTGACCATCTGGTTTCCTTGTGGTCTGCCACCATTGCAGAAGGCAAGCGTTTGGTTAGCAACCACGTCTTTCCATGTGAACTAGACAATATGGCTTATTGTCGTGTAAAATAACTGTGAGTTCTTTTATGAAATTGCATAGTGTTCACTACCTGTGCCGTGCACGGTTATCATATCCTGCCGATCCAGCACTGGGTGTTGGCCCCGCATTGTTTTTCTCACAGTTTTTGCCATCCATCACAAATTTAAAAGCTTGCCTACTACCGTTACTTGTACTTACTGCGCACGATGCTATACGAATGTTTCCTATAATGGTGAGGCGAACTTTCCACTACCCGGATGTAGGCCGGGGCTGTGAGAGAGCCCTATGACAACTAGTTTTTTCCCTGTTACGCGATTCATTCCAAAATGTCTTGACCTGCAATACATAAAATGGCAATCTGTGTATATTTTTGGCTCTTCTCGTAAAGTCCTGGTAACCATTTAGAGGTGAAGATAGCATAAACAAGTATCATTTTGCTATTAGTTGCCATGGTGATTAATGTATTTAAATCCTTACTTGTTTCACTGTCGGTGTTTTGCCCAATCAGCTGACTGTCGATTGTGTCCAGGCAGATCCCTAAATCAACCGTCTTGTTTGTGAAACCTGGCTCAAAAAAATGTAAAAACCACTTTGATTTTATTCCATATACAAATACTTCATAACCTTCAGAATTGTCGCACTTCATTTGCCTCAGGCCATGCAGAAATACGATCAGGATTGAATGATATTAAACCGATCTCTCAATACTGGAGATGTTCCGTTCTGTTTAGTTTAATGGTCTGATAATTTGGCGAAACAAAATGACGAACGATCGCAAGCGTGGTTTGAGACAATGATGATATTGGTCAGAATGCAACTAAGACAAACTGTAAAATACTGTCTGGTCTAGATAAATTGAAAAACTGTCCTAAATCAGTAGGATTTATGGGTGAAATTGAGACTACGTTTTTAAACTTGGATTTTTCTTTTCAAGATAGGAACAATTTGATTTTTTTCCCCTAGACCACTGAGAATGCAAAGACATTCATGAATATGGTGACTTCAGATGCCAGGTATTGTTCTTTTAATTATATAGGCCTTTGCAATGTTTTTGTCATCAGATATGTTTGATAGATGATTATTTTTCAATTTAGTTTAGGTACTGGTATAGAGAGTAAAATGGAATAAATGTCATCAGTCTTTGTTGAGTTCTTTTTGGAAACAGAAGGTTTTTCTAATTAATTCTAGAAATTTCAGCTTGGTAAATTCTCAAGGCTCGTGCATTTACCATTGATTCGGCCCACTTTCCAAGATGATTAAGAACTGCCTGCAAACTACATGTACGGTAGACTCATCGTACATGACCATTTAAATTTGGATAAATTGAAAAGCAGAATGCCTGTGTCATTATGAAGCGTACTCATTTATCGTCGCACGAGCCTCACTTTTGTTAGCTGGGCTTTGACAAGATAACGTGAAAGGCTAGCACGAGACTGCGGGACCCTGCTGCGGCACGAAATTTTCCTTGTTAAATACCTGCTGCTTTTAAGTGTCGTTTTATCGTTGATTAGATTTAATGGTGCCTCACAAAAATCAAAATTAATGGTCACTGGAGCCAGAGGGGTTAATTTTTAATCAGAAATCTACTCAAGTCGCTGGAAAAGCAAGAGTAATTTAAGCCTTATCTTGCGGTGTCGCTAAGATAACGGGGCACAAGAGGAACAAGGAAGCATATTTTGGTCACTGGGTAACCAGTCAGTTTGACCTCACCTTTGGCCGACAATTACTCATAACTGTATTCAGAGATGTAGGCCACTTACTACTCTGACGCTGTGTCCAGCCTCACAATAGTTGATTCATTGTCTTAGGCTCCGCCATTCCATTGTAGCCTTATTTCAGAAAGCCTGGCTCATTGACAGTTTACGTCTGCATCAAGAATTGATTGTGATTAAAGGGAATATACATCATTTGCTTCTACTGTAATTTTCAGAAATGGATGGAATTGGGGGGTTGGAAATATAAAGCAAATATAGTTACATGTACACTGACTTTTTGGAGATTTTGGGTTCGAAAATGCTATAAAAACCAAGAAAAACGATCATTTTCCTGTAGTCTGGTTCCCTGACTCCATATAAGAAGAAACAGAGCATTTTACATACATTGGGGAATTGTAAGGTCAGGGAACCAGTCTAGCTGGCTCGTACCCGTTCATAGGTTTGTAATCGATTGCAAACAAGTGCAATGGTCAATTGGGGCCAGTATTTGAAAAAAAGCCAGTTGTTTCCAACGCTGATCGGCCGATCAGCGTTGGAAATTGATACAAAAATACCACTTTTCTTGAAAATGACAGTATACCAGGTGCCATAATTTTACAGGATGCTTTAGACTGTCATTTACCAACATCCTGTTATTTTGTTAAGGTATTTCGCAAAAACTTGGTAGTTTTATTTTTCGATGTTTGCAAATGTTGTATATTCCCTTTAAAAATAATGTTGCTCATAAACAAATTGATGTTTTTGTTTCCCAACTACTTTTACAGTCAATGTGCAGATGAAAAAGAAATTGCCAAAACAAAAAAAAAGCATGAGAAAAGAAAGAAATGGAGCACCTCTAATACAACCTGAAGTGCCCTCCTCGCTGGAATCGTTTTACCCCGTTTTTGGTTTCCACAAAAAAAAGGAGAAAATCGCCGGTGGATATAATTATATCTATGTTGGGCTCTACCTGCTGGAATTACCTGCGAATCAATCAACCTTGCTTCCATTGCCAACAAACCCAGGATGCCGTTGCTGGCTGGCAGCTACCGTTATTGGAAATTGGACGCTCGGATTATGACATGTTGCCCCGGCCACTTTTTCTATGGATTTTAATCCCCTCCTTCCACCTCCAAACTCAAAAAATTCCAGGGGTAATTTTAAGCTAATTTGTACAGAAGAAGGTACACCTTAAGCCCAGAAGGTAAAAAAGGAGAGAAATAATCGTTTTGAGTGAAGTGTCTTCCACTTACTGGTTTCCACCTTGGTTCGGTAAATTCCATTAGAGCTGGGGCATTTCAAACTTGAGCCACTATTACCGCTGGAAACACTTTTACAGATCCTTGTGTTTGCATCCAGTATTTACCCGAGCACTCATTAGCGCACTCAAAGCAAGTAAAAGCTAAATCGGAGCCCGAGTTACTGTAACTGTATTATTTTTGTCATCATTACTAAGTAAACCTCCTGGTATTGTTTGTCCGTGGGTTTATCGTATCACCAGCCTGTTTAAGGAACATGCAGCTTTTCCCTCCTGTCCTGATGCTGTGTGCTTGTGACACGATTGCTTGATCAAGATTGCCTGTACTTATTGACACAGGTGGATTGTGCTGGTGTTCGTGTGGGGGCTGATCAAGCGAAGCCCAGACTTGACAACACCCTGCCTAAACAAGACTTTTGATTTAGTTATCATGTTCATGCACATGCGGCGTATTCATAATCTTTGTAATAACAGCGGCATTTGCATCCTCGAGCTTTGATCCTCTGGTAACACGAAGATCAAAGAAAATTCATAAAAATCCTGTTACCCCTGATCGTCATACGATTATGATCAACTACATAAGCCATCCGACTCAACGTTATAATCTATTCATAATATTTCATTAAATTTTTTTCCTAATTTAATATTCCACTTTTTGATCTCTGTGTTGAGTTTTGTTAATTTTCCTTTCCCCGTGGGCATAGGCCTACAATCATACAACAAACTTGAATTGATACCGTACATGCTTACATGTAGTTCTACATGTAGGGTCTACCGTACATGTTGTATAATAATATTAAAATGACACACATTCTATAGTGCAAGTACATGTACATACTTGTACATGTAGCAACAAATGACATTTGAACCCAAAACATTTTTTTTTAACTGGGCAAGTACATGTATTTGGCTTCTTACCATAAGGCCCTGCTGCATCATCCTAAGACTCTAATTTGGGGATCCTCCAGAGCTCACCAGAGCGCAGTTCCACATTGTCAGATGGACCATTCAACAGCGCGCATAATAAAAATTATAATCACAAAGTGGATTTTAAATTAATAAGGCCTACATGTATAAATGTTGATCAGTTACTGGTACTTACTACAATGAATTACGTAAAAAAGAAATTGTTCATCATACTTTTTTTGCTGTAGTAGAACACGATGGTGTGGTATGTACCGATACATGTACCGGTACATATACGGTATGTATTCAGACAAATAGATTTTTTGTGTACTTATTAATTAATACATTTTTCAGTTAAACGTAACAGTTGAAATGTTGAACATTGTTAAAAATAAAGTGTAAGCTTCAAAACGGTACATGTACATGAGTATGTATACATGTTTCATTTGTGACATTTGGAATTTTTTGAAGTTTTTTCATTGAGGTTTATAATTCAGTGGAACTGCCCATG